ACCAGAGATGTGATCCACAAAATTAGATAACTGTTTGTTTGGACTGAAAAGGTGAGCTGCTAAAGAAAAAAGTATTTTCATGCAGATTTGAATCCTCAAAAATGGAATATTCCTTGGATATTTAATATTAATGTTTAAAATAATAGAAAGTCTTTTCTTTATGTTTATATTTGCCGTAAATCTGTGCATACAAACATACATGGTCCCATATACATGTAATAAGTTGAGCCAGTCAGACCATTTCAGGAAGTTTGAACTAAGAAACATAATGAATTTGCTAGTCTGTTATGGGACTTTCTGCTGAAATGTCATCCGGGGCTGAAGAAGCCAAGATGACTTCCTCTAAGCCGAAGTTGTGGACAAAACAGAACCAAGGTGAAAGCAGAGGAAGTCAGTTGGTGAGGAAAGGCAAAAGGAAGGACTTGCAGAGAGAAGCAGGAACCGAACACGACAGAGACTGTGAGGCCCGGGAGGCAGAGACAGAAGCTGGTCTCTAGACCTGCCCAGCATGGCTTTCCACTCCCATTCAAGGTACAGGGCTTGGATGTCCTCAGAGGGAGCCCTCCTTCTCTTCAAGTCTCTTTGGCATGTGTGGGCCTTGTACAGTGATATACGAGGGTACTTCAAAAAGTTCATGGAAAGATGTGTTATCTTTTAATTCTGCTTTTCCACAAACTTTCTGAAGTGCCCTTATATATGCCAAAGATAAAATTTTAGAAAACTAAGATAACTAAGTGCAATGGACTGAATGTTTATGTCTCCCCAAAAATGGTATGTTGAAATCCTAGTCCCCAATGTGATGGTATTTAGGTATGTGGGGCTTTTGGGAGGTGATAGATCTTGAGGGTGGAGTCCTCATGAATGGGATTAGTGCCATTATTAAAAAGGCCTGAGAGAGCTCCCCGCCCCTTCTACCGTGTGAGGAGGCAGTGACAGGATGCCACTTTGAGGCAGAGAACAGTCCTCACCAGACACAAAACCTCCCCACACCTTGATCTTGGACTTCCTAGCCTCCAGAACTGTGAGAAATGAATTTCTGTTGTTTATAAGCACCCAATCTATGGTATTCTATTATAGTAGCCTGAACAGATGAAGACACTGAGTTATTAATTGGTGATAGAATAGCAAATTGGATTACCAGTAATTTATTTATTAGTGTTTATTCATTCAGTATCCCTCTAGGTGCAACAGACAGCAAATAAAATCAAATTGGTCCCTACTTAGAAGTTAAACACATT